TCTCCCGCCTCTGCAGCAGTGCTAAGGAGCAGTGAGCCAAGCTTAAAGAGCAGCGAGCAGGCAGGTGGTAAGGAGTGAGGGGTCCCGGACTGCAAGAGGGCGCATGCCGGGCTGAGGGAACCCCCCTCCCCTCAGTGCACAAATTTCGTGCACCGGGCCTCTAGTGGGCTATAAAAACTCAGAGCTCTGACCACCCAGTCCTCAAGCTTGGCTGTACCAAGGGTCATGCTCGGAGCCCTGCCAGACTTCCACTCCACTGGACCTGTGCCACCGCTGTAGCCTCTCCACCTGTTATGCTGCCAGTGACTGGGACTTGATGCCAGATGCTTGCTCAGCTCACTTCTATTGCATAAGCTCCCACTCTTTGTGTGTAACCTGTGTGTGATTCTATTGGCTTTTGGGGAGGTCTCCCCTAATTAACCAGTGATTCCTTTTAGGGATGCTCCCTTGCTCACCACAATGAGGTATGCCATAGTAATAAAATAAGACAGACTCCCTAGGGGCTTACATTCTAGAGCCACACACAACCACTGGGTTATCCCGACCTTTTATAAACAAGTATGCACCTCACAGGGCTCACAGGAATCTATAATAATAAAAGCGTAATATGCTAATTAGACCAGACAGCCGAACGACCTCCCGGATATCCTTCCGGATGAAGCCGGGTCTGCGAGGGCCGAGCCTCTTGCATGAATTTCATGCATTGGGCCTCTAGTGAGAGAAAAAATGGTGAACACTGAAAAAATGCAAACAGAAAAAGGCCAACCTGATGTGCACTGTGCAGTCTATCCCCAATCTGGTCTCTTAGTAACAAGATGGAGAAAATAATAAGAGAGGCCTTAGCCATTCAAAACTATCTTACTGTCAAACCCAGGCCATTCTAAGCAGTTCATTTAGGGATCGTTGTAAGCCAGGGTGGAGAATCTTTTTTCTGCAAAAGGCCATTTGGATATTTATAACGTCATTTTTGGGCCATACAAAATTATCAACTTAAAAATTAGCCTGCTATATTTGGTCAAACATTTAATTAACTCAACCATAATGCCCTGGCAGGGCCAGACCAAATGATTTTGCAGGCCTTATACGGCCCAAGGGCCAGACATTCCCTACTCCTGTTCTAAGCAGTTCACTAAGATTCTAAATTGGAATTTAAAAATCAAGTACCAAATTCAATAGCTCACCTCTGGAAACACATAAAATGAAAACATAGCTCTTTTGCTGGCAGTTTTGCTATACTAGGGTAACCCATACAGTTTGATACACAAACTGTAACTTGACACTATAATTGGAAAAACCAAATGATATAATAGCAATATAGCTCTGTGCAGCTTAATAAGCATTCTGATACCTCATTCAACCCTTACAATTTTGAAAAGTAGATTATTTCCCTCTGCCCATTTGAAAGCTGAAAAATACAGAAGCTCTGGTTATGATTTACTTGGCCAGGGTCATCAAATTAGTAAATGAGAGAATTAGAGCTGTATTTATTATAGTTCATATATAATATATACTATGTAATATATAGAAAATAACTATCCAGTATATAGAATATTCTATTGCTGATATTAGTACATAAGAAATATACTACTTGTCTCTAAATCTGAGCTATTGACTTTTTAAAAAAATTTAATCTACATTTGAATATCTATTGTAACTGAGGGAGACTTAAATGTTTTACAAATGGTATCACATATCCCCACATTTTAGAAAAACTTAAAGCAAAATCTTTCTCAAAATAAAGTTGAGTAAATACTGAGTCCTGGCTGGATAGTTCAGTTGGTTAGAGCGTTACCCTGATACTCCAAGGTTGTGGGTTTGATCCGGGGTCAGGGGACATACAAGAATAAACCAATGAATGCATAAATAAGTGGGACAGCAAATTGATATTTCTCTCTCATTTTCATTCTCTCTCTCTTAAAAGCAAACTGATAATTAATGGTCCACAATGAGTAAGAAATATTCCCTATTTTCACAAATAGAAATTCTAGACTTATAATTATTTCAAGATAACCCAGTAGGGTTATTTCATTAAATTTATTTTGACCCTGCCAGATTTATGTCTCTGTTATAAGCTTTGAGATGGGGGAACATTCAAAAGCAAGAGAAGAAAGCATTAATCATCCAGAACATCTGTCATTCTTAAGCAGCCACTCTCTTTGAGGTGCAGGCTATCCCCAATCTGGTCTCCTAACAGCAAGATGGAGGGATAGTAACAGAGGCCTTAGCTTTGCAAAACTATCTTATTGTCAAAACTGACAAATCCAAGCCCTACTAAGCAGCTCATTTAGAGATCATTCTAAGCAGTTCACTAATATTCTAAATCGGAATTTGAAATCAAGTACCAAATTCAATAGCTCACCTCTGGAAACACATAAAATGAAAACACGACTCTTTTGCTGCAGTTTTGCTAAACTATGGTAACCCATTCAGAAAGAGTGAGTTTTAATTGAATTCCACAACCACAAAACACATCACGGTTGAACTGGCAGTCAAGAAGAAACACAAAGCACCACTCACTAACTGGTTTCTTGTGATGGTTGTGCCTCCCCGGCATCTTTTTTCCTATGGGAGGGATGTGAGAAAGGAACACTGACATTTCTAAAACAAGCACGGGACTTGTGCCTTACACACAAAATAATACATGACTGATTTTTTCTTGGAAATATACAATGCATATTTTCATTTAATTTTACTGAGAGCCACAAAAAGGAAGAGCTATAGAATAATTTTGAGGATACATTACTGCCACAAATGTGGGTGGTGGATAAACAATGAGTGAAGAAGATGAACTCCTAATAGGTTTTAATGTGTAGCTAAGACTGCATACATGATGTAAAATATCTGCAAAATGCTGAGCACATTTTAATGGCTGCCACATCCTCAAAACAGCATCACCTGTATCCTTTAAAGCACCAGCTGGGCCCTAGTCAGGTTTCTCAGTGGTTAGAGCATGGGCCAGGGGACTCAAGGGTCTTTGCTTTGATTCAGTCAAAGGCACATATCTTGGTTGCAGGCTGGATCCCTAGTCCCTGTTGGGCTGCATGCGGGAAGCAACGGATCATGTCTGTCTCTCTCTCTCTCTCCGCCCCCCACCCCCTTCCACTCTAAAAATCAATGAAAAAATATTAACAACAACAAAAAAATTGGTGATTACCAGCCAAGGAAAAATAGATGTTTCTTTCAAAACAAAAAGGCCTTCAAAAGAAAAAAAAAAAAAAAGGCTTTTCAAAATCCTTTTAGGATTAATGACAAGATTTGGCCTAGTTTCACAAAAACAATGATACAACACCTCTTTAAAAAAAAAAAAAAAAAGGCAATGTGTTCCCCTGAAACAAGCATCAAGTGCTGGCATGCTTTTTTCTCCTGCCAATTACAAATTCTCTTCCAGGGAAGGACACCCTGGCTTGAAATATGCTGTGACATTAAAACATCTCCTGACATGAGACACTAGGTACAGGGGTGGGCAAACTTTTTGACTCAAGGGCCACAATGGGTTCTTAAACTGGACCGGAGGGCCGGAACAAAAGCATGGATGGAGTGTTTGTGTGAGCTAATATAAATTCAAAGTAAACATCATTACATAAAAGGGTACGGTCTTTTTTTTTTTTTTTTAGTTTTATTCATTTCAAAGGGAACGGATCCGGCCCGCGGGTCGTAGTTTGCCCACAGCTGCTAGGACATTAAATTTTACCTAAATAAATTTTAAACGTTTTCTGAATCAGAGGAAGGAGCTACTGTTTGGTGTTAGCATCAAGTATTGGGCAGTGTTCCTTATGCACTGTGGTAACTTTTTTAAAGGGGAACAAACTTAGGATTCACTGCATTTCAAACTACACATCACATGAGGAATTTTGAACCCAGCTGGGATACATGCCCTCGGAAAGGTTCCTGAAAGCAGGAAGCCGTATCTCTGTGTCTTTGCACCCCACACTGCTGTGCACAGCGTGGAGCCTGCATTTAAGCAGTTCCTGGGGATGTGTCAACAACGGTCAAGGACCACAACCTGAAGAATGAAGCTGGCAAAACAAGCAGATTCCAAACTGAATTTGTACAGAAATAAAACCGCGCCTACTAATGCAATGGTTGAGTACGGGCCACTTGCCCTTCTCAAGAATAAAAAATGCGCTCCTGGTGTCAGCAGAGGATCTTTCACTTTCAAAAGGGAAACAACAACAACAACAAAACCCGCGATAGCTCTGCCTCTCTAATTCTAAACAGCTGAATCATTCACATATTCTCCTGGCCATAATGCTTCCAAGAACTGTCAATGCAGGCTTTGCTTTCTGCAAAGTCCGAATTTAAGACCTTCCCCAGAAGCGCATGGAAGAATTACAGGAAATGAGAGTGATTCGCTGCGTTATCCTTAACCAAAAAGGAGGCCCCGGCAATCACATCAATCTCTGGTGAAGGAAAAATGCTAAGCTGAGAAAACATCCGTCCATCCAACGACTATTTATTAAATGTCTACTTTGGCGCAATGAAAACGGGCACACGGACGCTGGGCTAGGGGTGCTGGGGGCCGTCTGCTCCACCGCGGGGCGCATCGCCCAGCCAGACGCTCCCCAGATGCGCGAGCCAGGGGTCCAAGGTGCAGCCCCGCGGGCTCCCGGGCCGCCTCGCGCCGACGCCACACAGGTCTCCCTAGCTACGCGGGCTCAGCGGGGGCGAAACGAACCCATCCGTCCGGCCACTGCGGTTAGGGCCACCGCACACCCGCTGCCGCGGACCCTTAAGGCCGTGGGATCCTCGCACCAACGCGAAGACAGCTCCGTGCCCGAGGGGACATAGTGGGGCATAGGAGTAGGTTCAGTGGGCCCTAGAGAATCGCGGGAGGGTGCTCTGGGGCTGGAGGCCCCTGGGCTTTTTAAGGGTTGTAGAGACCGCGTCGTGCAGAGGTGTGGGGGCCCTAGCGGCTCCCAGAGGGACGCGTTGGGGGGCAGTCAACCGGGGATGGGCCGGGGATGGAGACCCCCTCAGGACGCGCGCGGCCTGACGCTCACCCAAACAGCCCTCGGAGGAAGGAGTGGGAGGCCTTAAGTCGTTTTTCGGCATCCGCCATCAGCTGGACTGCCTCGCGCTCCTTCCCTGCGTTGTCCATACTTCCTAACGCGGCCGCCACAACCTCCTCTGCCGGCTGAATGCGCCTACCACGCCTTCGCTCCCTTCTTGCAAGGCGGCGCGCGCAGGCGCGGTGCGCACAGCCTGCCGGAATTTGTAGTCCGGGACCCACCCTGGAGGCGGGAGCGCAGGCGCGAAGCGCAGATTGGTTCGGCTGGGGTCAAGGACAGTTCCCAGTGGGATGCAGAGCAGGCCAGGGTGGGGTCGAATCTCCCTGACCGCTGGCGCTGGGGGTGGGGTCTTAGGCCAAGGTGAAGTTTAATCCTTTAAGTATGCGGGAAATGGAAAATGACCCCTGGCTTCCAGAAAGATCACCTTAAACACTCAGCATTATGTTGGTTCAGGAATTCCTGCTCAGCACAATTGGCATGTGGCCAGTGGATGGATGAGATACCTGGATCCCAGAATGGAATGCTCAACCTACAGTCTAGTTTTGCAAAAGGAAATACAGAGCGGCCACACACAAAAATAACTTCATTAACTGTGTGATGCCCATTTACCCACTCACCCACCCAGGAACAGCTGGCAGAAAGAGACATTTTTACCTCCAGAGCAAGACATTTAAGAATGTATCATTTCTCCCAATATAAATTCAGAGTTATTTTTCAGTCTCCCCATATTGCAACCTTCTAATGGTCCTCTCTTGCTTGATTATAATTGAGTTGCATATATGCAATATATGCATAATCCACTGTTTTTATTGACTGAATTCTTTTCAATGGATGTGAGCCATTGAGCTCTCTTTATCCTTTACATAATGTTTTCCATAGGCGGTGGATCTCCTGGGACACAATATCTGACTTCCAATAAAAATTCTAATCTCCTAGGAGAAGTATCCATAGATAGATGCCATTGTCTGCCAAAGATTTCCAGGACTGTCCCAGAGGGAGTTGTTTGTTCGTTTTTTAATACAAAGCCTTGTCTAGATCGTTTACATTTGGCAATGCTAAAGCAGAGGTGGTTACGCAAATACAAAGATCATGGCCAAATGAGAGCTTGTGACAATTTCAAACTATTAATCGGTACTCTGTGGTCACTGCCACACAAAATCTGTCTAAGACGATGCTTTCAGGGAGCAAGACAAGAAGGCCCAAACTCCTAGAAAGATGACTGAAGCAAACATCAGAGTTTCACATTTCAGTGTTATCTGTAGGGAGCTCTCCAAGTACCTACCTGTTGCTGGGAGGAGAGGGGGAGTGAGCTTCTTGTGATATCATGAGAAAAGGAATTTTCTGAGACTCGCACGGGAGGATGAGATATTGTAGAAAGCTTTATTTCTGTGGAATTAAACCCCTGCGCTTCCCAGGTTACATTTCCGTAGTCCCACCAAGGAAGAAGTCCATCTTTGCCTTCAGCAGGGCTGGGATTAAAGCCATTGCCCAGAGTTTCCGTTCCATGTTGGGGCAAGTCCAACCCAGCAGGCTAGCTTAGTGTGTGTTCCCTGCTGCAGTCCATCAGTCCATTGCATGTGGGGTCTGCATGGCCATCTGCCATGGGGCCTCTAGGGCCACACGGCTCTGCAGGAACATGGGCAAATGTAAAAGAGTCACAAGAGCCAAGAGGGTGAGAATTCCTTTGTCTTGGGATTATATATCCCCAAATTTTCACAGGTTTGCAGTGGCCCCAGTCCTCTAGCAAACGATTTCTGTTCCCAAGTTTGACTGACAGGCACCTTCCCTACGTCACCCTGACTTTACTGCACACGTATCCATCTCCCCTACCCCTAGTGATCTTTGGGGAATGGGCCAGTGATTCCCTGGGGAGTCTAAAGTTTCAGCTTCCTGGTGAAGGTGCCCAGATGGCTGTGCTTATAATGTCTGGCCTCCCCTTTTGCTCCTTTCCCCTATTATTAATACCTAGCTTATTACAACCATATCAGCTGGACTCCAAAAGTAGAAGGAAATCTCAGATCTTCGAGTTTATTTAGTATTACTACATGCATTATCCTAACTTGTGTATTTTGGGAGCAGGAAATTGGAGGTGGCATAAATGCAGGAGAAAAGAGGAAAAATGAAAAGAACAAAAAAGAACGTAAGCACTTGAAAAGCAGAGCCATCTACGGGTGAGGCAGGATTGTAAGAAGCTAGGAAAATTCTTTGATAAGTGGACTAGGGAAACTAGGACAGAGGGTTAAATGGCCAGGCAGTTTACAGCCATCTAGTAAGTCACAAAATCCTATCTTCCATAATCAAGGACCCAAGAGTAAATGGTTTACACTTCTTCCTAACCAGAAGGTAAATAGCTTAAATCATCCTACTCAAAGAGATGCTAGTAGATATTAGAAGTCCAATTAGCACCATTTGCCAACCACATACAAGGACAGATGAAATTATGGGAATAAATCTCATTTGATGTATCAGCATAAAATTGATGAATATTGTATGAGATCTTCTCCTGAGACCTCCCCTAAACTCCCAGTCTTTTAAACCCTTCAAGACAAAGGACCCAGCAAAGCTCTCCCTCCCAGGAGCATGCCCATACCTTTCCCTTCCCCCACAGGCATGCATCTCCTAAGGGACCCCAGGAAACTTGCAACCAGAGGAGCAATGGGCAGTGGCAGCTCACCCTTGGCTAACCCCTTGAACTTGTCTCCAAGGTCCCTTTTCTCTGACTTTCCAGTGAGCTGGCAGAAGCCTTACCTTGGCTCACTTCTTTCCTGTAACATTTCTAGAGAGCTAAAGCAGCCCCCCCTCTCTCTCCTGTTGCTTCTATCCTAGGCTTTCCTGTTTCACTGTCCCTAGCTTTAATCAAAGTACTGTCTATATCACCTGTACTTATGCTGTGAAATCTCTCCTGCATAAAGTCAAGAACCCACACACTACAGGCTGGAAGAGGTTTACCTGTTCTGGATGGTCCCTGTCCAATAACATGGGGATTTAATGGAGTAGGGCCATCTCAAAAGCTCTGAAGTGCAGCATCAGTATGGTGATTAAAACAGTTCCCAAACTTAGCTCAATGTGGACACTCTAAAGAATGTCCAAGAAATACAGACTCCTGAGTCACTAGCTTTTTGTATCAGGATCTCCTAGAGGTGGGGTCCAGGGAGTGTACATTGTAAGAACTCTCCACAACTATGCTAAAACGTACAATTCTAGGTCCTCCCATCTAGTCAGCTGGAAAGGAGGTGGAATGGACTACCTCCTCTAAACTAGAACTTGTGATTTAAGGGTTTCAGGGATATATATTGGAAATTCTTCTGTTTCTGGGTATTTCCCTCATTCATTCTCTCTCTCTCTCTCTCTCTCTCTCTCTCTCTCTCTCTCTCTCTCTCTCTCTCTCTCTCTCTCTCTCTCTCTCTCTCCCTCACAGTAAACCTACAGGAACTCCCACTCTCCCGCAGGCCACACCCAGAGCCTGGTGAGCAGAGGTGACAGGGCAGAGAGACAAACCTGATAGAGTGAGGACTGACTAGGGCAGTGGTTCTCAACCTTCCTAATGCCACGACCCTTTAATACAGTTCCTCATGTTGTGGTGAACCCCAATTTCATTGTTACAAATTGAACATAATTAAAGCATAGTGATTAATCACAAAAACAATATGTAATTATATATGTGTTTTCCGATGGTCTTAGGCGACCCCTGTGAAAGGGTCTTTCAAACCCCCAAAGGGGTCTCGACCCACAGGTTGAGAACCACTGGACTAGAGGGACAGATGAGGAATCTGAAGGAGTTTGAGAAAACAGCAGAAGCAGGAAAGACACTCTGACCTCCCCATACCCTTCTCCTTTGAAAGCAAGAGATAACTGTCCCTGTGTAAGTGCCCTCCTGGTACCAGAAAGAAGGAAAACATCTTTATCACTAGAGGTGGGGAATTTAGGGCCGTGAAGGCTTTATAAACAAACCTTGAGACTTTACCACTTACTACCCCTCACCCAAACTCCTTTGTCTTGCCAATTCTTTACAAATCTATTTCTTTGTCTACAGGTATACAACCTTTCTGCTCAGAGCACTTCTTTGGGTTGCCATTCTCTTGTCAGGTCTCCCACAAAAACGTAAAAATTCAATTAAATGTGTGTGTTTTCCTCTGGTTACTCTGTCTTATACCAGTTTAATAATTCTTAGGCCAACCCAGAGCCCCAAAGAGGGTACAGGAGACATTCCTTCCCTTTATAAGCAACACCCAAACTTTAGAAATCAACTTTCTTTTTTGAAAAATATTATTTTTAATTTTTCAATTACAGGTGACAGATATTAGATACAGGTGTACAACATAGTTATTTTACATTTATATAACTTATGAAGTAATTACCTCAATGAGTAGTACTCATCTGATACTATACATAGTTATTCCGGTATTATTGACTATATTCCCCATGCTGTACTTACATCCCTGTGACTGTTTTATACCCAGCAATTTATACAATGTAATCCCTCCCCTTTTTTCACTCACCCACCATGGCCCCTCCCACTTGGCAACCATCACAAGTGCATGATTAAATTCTGAATAAGTAAAGTTCACAATGTGTTCCTCCCTCACAAGGAGGCGGGTGGGGCTTACCTCACAAAGCTCTGCTGGGCTCATACTAAGATAGCTTGAGCCAGTGCCAGGGCCTGCAGGCACAGTGAGAAATTCAGCCGGCAGAAATCTGTGGTGAGTAGCTGGCGGGGGAGTACAGAGAACCTCTAGAGAAGCATAGGAAATAGGTGATGGCTGGGTGAGATAGTTGGAACCCAAAGTAGGTAAGTAGAATGCCCCTGACCCTGTTCCATGCCCCTGATTTCTTATATCCCAGTCCAAACATCATGTTCTCCATAAGCCTTTCCCTATTTCCATGAATGGTGTTCCTCTGTCCAATACACCAGGTCTTATTGCATAGCACTGCAGGGGTCTGTTTTAGATTTTTCTTCCTTTGTAGGTGTAAAGGCAGGGAGAAGGTCTTACCCACCTTGGCAGGAGTTTAGAAATTACGCCTGTCTGAAACACCGAAGAACCGGATGGGTGTGGAAAATGACCTGACCTGAGAGTAGGTTGGACAGCCACGCAGAGAGACTTCTCTGTCTGGTCCTTCCATCAAATTGTGGGCAGGGTGTTGAGAGGAATTCTGTTTAAATGCAGGCAGCTGTCTCCGGGGAAAGGCTGCGTTGGTGAGGGCTGTGGATGAGCAGCGAGCGAGCCTGAAGGTGCAGTGGATAGGCGGTTTCTGAAGCTGCGGACATGGGAGCTGAATGCTGGAGAAACCTTCTGTTGTTGTTGGCTGCTCTGGTCCTGACGGCCAAATTGGGTCACTTTCAAAGGTGGGGAGGCTTCCAGGAGAAGTCCACAAGCAAGAAAAACATGAATTCAACACTCAGATTCTTCATTGAAAACTACAACAATGTGAGCAATGACACCTACTTATTTCGAGTAGACAAAGTACTTCAAAGTTATGTGCAGGTTTGTATCTCGGTTTCTCTGAATATGGGTAGTACCCCCATTCTTGCCCATTTTTTACATTGAATTTATTGGGGTGACACTGGTAAACAACATGATACAGATTTCAGGTGCACAATTTTACAACACATCATTTGTACACTGTATTGCAGGGGTCCTCAAACTTTTTAAACAGGGGGCCAGTTCACTGTCCCTCAGACCGTTGGAGGGCCGGACTATGGTTTAAAAAAAAACTATGAACAAATTCCTGTGCACACTGCACACATCTTATTTTGAAGTAAAAAAAAAAAACAAAAAAAAAAAACAGGAACAAATACAATATTTGTATTTGCATGTGGCCTGCGGGCTGTAGTTTGAGGACCCCTGCTGTATTGTTGTTCATCACCCCAAGTTAAGTCTCCTTCTATCACCATTTATCCGCCCCATACCCACCTTCACCTCCTCTCCTCCCCTCCCCTCAGCAATCACCACACTGCTGTCCAGTTTTCCATCATTACTTTTTCTAAATATCTTTTTTGAAAAATTTTTTTATTGATTTTGTACAGAGAGGAAGGGAGAAGGAGAGTTAGAAACATCGATCAGCTGCCTCCTGCACACCCCCTACTGGGGATATGCCCACAACCAAGGTACATGCCCTTCACTGGAATCGAACCTGGGACCCTTCAGTCCACAGGCTGATGCTCTATCCACTGAGCCAAACCGGTAAGGGCTCTAAATATCTTTCGATTTCTTGCTCTCTCCCCTCCTTCTGGCACCCCTATGATGCCAATGCTGGGCCCTTCTTTGTCTTTTGTTATAGCCTTTTTTTTTTTTTTCTATTTTGCTTAATCCTTCCACCCCCACCCGAACACCACCACCCCTCCCTGAGCTGTCTGCCTACTCTTTATCTATGAGTCTGTCTCTATTTTGCTTGGTAGTTCAGTTTGTTCATTAAATTCCACATATGAGTGAAATCATTTGTTACTTGTTTTTCTCTGACTGGCTTATTTCACTTAGCATAATATTCTCTAGGTCTATCCCTGTTGTTGCAGATGGCAAGATTTAATTCTTTTTTTATGGCTGAATCATATTTCATTGTATAGATCTTTATCTTTAACCATTCATCTATTTTTTTTCTTAATATATTTTTATTGATTTCAGAGAGGAAGGGAGAGGGAGAGAGAGATAGAAACATCAATGGTGAGAGAGAATCATTGATTGGGGGCCTCCTGCACACCCCCCACTGGGAATCAAGCCCATAACCTGGGCATGTGCCCTGACCAGGAATAGAACCATGACCTCCTGGACCATAGTTTGATGTTCAACCACACTGCCTGGGCTATCCATTCATGTATTGATGGACACTTAAGTTGCTTTTATATCTTGCTGCAATAAACATATGAATGTATAGATCCTTTTGCTTTAGTGTTTTGGGTTCCTTTGAATAAATACTTAGAAATAGAGATGTTAGGTCTTTTTTTCTCTTTTGTTATAGCTTTTGTTTTAAAGTCTATTTGGTTTGATATAAGTATTGCTACCCCACATTTTTTGTTTTGTGTTGTTTCCATTTTCATGAAATATCATTTTCCATCCCTTTACTTTCATTCTGTGTGTGTCTTATTTATTTTATTTTATTTATTATTGAATTTTTTTAGAGAGAAGAAGGGGAAGAGAGAGAGAGAGAGAGAGAGAGAGAGAGAGAGAGAGAGAGAGAGAGAGAAGGGGGAGAGAGAGAGAGAAACATTGATGTGAGAGAAGCCTCCTATATATGCCCTGACTGAGGATTGAACCTGCAACTTGGGTATGTGCCTTGATCAGGAATTGAATCCACCACCTTTCTATGTACAGATGATGCGCCAACCAGCTGAACCACACTGACCAAGCCTGTGTGTGTCTTTTGATTTGAAATGAGTCCCTTACATACATACAGCATAAAATAAGGGTCTGGTTTTGTAACCTATTCAAACACTGTATCTCTTCTGATTGGTGCACTTAATCCATTTGCATATAAAATACTTGTTGACAGATATATATTTAATGCCATTTTATTATTCATATTTTCATTTTTTTAAAAAAAATATTTTATTGATTTTTTTACAGAGAGGAAGGGAGAAGGATAGAGAGTTAGAAACATCAATGAGAGAGAAGCCTTGATCAGCTGCCTCCTGCACACCACCCACTGGGGACGTGCCCGCAACCAAGGCACATGCCCTTGACTGGAATCGAACCTGGGACCTATTCATATTTTTAATATTTTTTTTCTCTTTTTCTCCTTAAAGAAGACCCTATAAAATTTCTTGTAATACTGGTTTGGTGGTAATAAACTCCTTTAGCTTTGTCTTTTCTGGGAAGCTCTTTATTTGTCCTTCAATTCCAAATGATAGCTTTGCTAGGTAGAGTAATCTTGGTTGTAGGTCCTTGTTTTTCCTCACTTAGAATATTTTATGTCAGTCCCTTCTGGCTACAAAGTTTCTGTTGAGAAATCAACTGACAAACTTATGGGAGTTTCCTTATAGGTAACTAACTGCTTTTCTCTGCTGCCTTTAAGATTCTCTCTTTGTCTTTAACCTTTGGCATTTTATTATGATGTGTCTTGGTGTGGGTTTTTTTAGGTTCATCTTGTTTGAACTCTGTGCTTCCTGGACTTCTATGTCTATTTTCTTCACCAAATTAGGGAAGTTTTCCATCTTTATTTTTTCTAAATAACTTTTCGATTTCTTGCTCTCTCTTCTCCTTCTGGCATCCCTATGATGCAAATGTTGGTATGCTTGAAGTTATCCCAGGAGCTTCTTACACTATCCTCATTTCTTGGATTCTTTTTTCTTTTTGGTGGTCTGATTGGGTGTTTTCTGCTTCCTTATATTCCAAATTACTGATTTAATACTCTGCTTCATCTACTTTACTGTTGATTCCCTTTAATTTATTCTTTATTTTATTTAGTGTAGTCTTCATTTCTGCTGGTTCTTTTTTTACGATTTCCTTGTCTTTTTTATGCTGTTGAAGTTCTCACTGAGTTTCCTGAGCATCCTTATAAGCACTGTTTTGAACTGTGTATCTGGTAAGTTCCTTGCCTCCACGTCATTTAGTTCTTTTTCTGAAGATTTCTCCTGTTCTTTCACTTGGGATCTGTTTCTTTGTCTCCTCATATTGGCTGCTTCCCTGTGTTTATTTCTATGTATTATATAGAGCTGCTATGTCTCCTAGACTTGGTAGAATGGCCTAATATAGTAAGTGTCCTGCAAGGTCCAGGGGTACAGACTCCCCAGTCACCCATGTTGGGTGCTTTAGGTATGGCCCTTGTGTGGGCTGTAGGAGCTGTCTTGTTGTAGTTGAGTCTTAATTGCTGTTGGCATATCACTGGGAGGGATTAGCTGCAAAGACTGGCGGCAACTACAATGGGGGAGCTGCTTGCAGGGGCTGACCCCATAGAGCAGGACTTTCTTCAGTGGGGCTTTGGTGCCTGCTGAGGCTGCACCCTTAGTGTGTCACTCATGAAGGCTGTTGGGTTGTAATCTGGCATGCTATGAAGCTGTCCACCATGTGCACTGGCTCTGGGACTTCTTGGAAGGTAAAAGGTCAGCCACCACCTGTGCCCTGCTTGGGCCCAGCTTGGTCTACAGATGGTTGCTGCTTTTCCTGGACTAGGAGGTGCCCAGAAAAAGCCAAACTGTGAGCCAAACTGTGAACCAAGTCTGGCTGCCACTAGTGCTGGCCTTGGGGTCACTTAGCATTATATACAGGGTATGCAGAAGCCAGACACTGCTTGTTTGAGAGATTTTAGGAAAATCTGAAGCATGAGCCAAGAGAAGTCACTTGTATGGAAAAAAACACTGGAAACTGCTTGAATGGGCCCCAAAGTTGGGTGAGGCAGTGTCTCAGGGAATTACCAGGGCAGGGTGAACAGTGTTAGCCAGGTTGATGGAGACTTAGATATGGCACCGGACTGCCAGCTCTTTGGGCAAAAGGCTCAGCAAAGAAACAGTATCTGCCAGCACTTCTGTCTGGGAGAAAGCAGCTCCTCTAGCTTTTGTAGTCAAGATATCCCTCCTGATTTTTAACCACCATATGTGGGTATGGAACCAGTTTGTTTCATGTCTCCACCCTTCTTACCAGTCTCAACATGGCTTCTTCTTTATATCCTTAGTTATAGGACTTCTGTAAAGCTAAATTTCAGGCATTCTGAATAATGGTTGTTCTATAATTTAATTGTAATTTTTGATGTGGTTGTGGGAGGTTCCCAGTACCGCATTTACCTGTGCCACCATCTTGTCCAGGCTGTTTTCTCTAACAGTCTCATTTGGCAAAATATAAGTGTTCTCTGTAGGTTCCCCTCAACAATAGTATTTGAATGTCCAGGGCTATAAAATCTAAGTCTGGACTTTCTGGCTGTGTTCTATAGAAAATGAATTATACAGAGGTGTGGGTTTTGTTTGTTTGTTTGTTTGTTTAACAGGAGGAGACCAAGGGGAGTGAGGGCTAGGCTTCAATCAGATCATCTCTTCTTTTATTTGTTTTTTGTGTAAAATTTTCTGATATCAATTGAAGGATGATAGAGGATGAAAAAAGTTGTTTGAAAATCACTTTTGCTTGTCTAACCTCTCCTCAAGGTCAGATAGTAATGTTAAAAACAACAATTTTAACTTCCATGACTGAAAGTTTAAAAGTGCTAGCCAAAAAGAAGATTGATCTTGAGGCATGAAGTCCAAACCACCAGCAGATGGTTTGGTGGAAAAGACACATATAATCCATTGTCTTGGACTCTGCAAGCATTTTTATACATCACGTGGGGGCAGGGGAAAGAAAGATGTAAGCCTTCTGAAAGAATTTACATGAGCTACAGGAGAAGTGGTGGGAGAAAGCAGGGCCAGCTCTGAAGTAGGTGCAGAGTCTGCAAAAAGAAATGTCCATTCCTGTTGATGGGCTGCAGGCAGCATTCTGGGAAGCCCACATGTAAACAATAACTGGAGCTCCTGGAGTTTGATGGTTCCTGGCTAAAAGAATCTGTAGAAATAGCCAACTGGAAA